AAAAAATCAAGTCAGATGTGATACTATACAGAGCCTTGAAAAAAATGAGATGGGAGGAGAAATAATAAGTCAATGCTTTTGCGTTCTCTCACTAATGTTTTGCGTTACACCGAGAAACTTCACAAAACCTTTTGAGCTCTTTGCACAAGAACGCAAAGTTTTTTGGGGGAACGCAAAACATTGGCGAGAGAACGCCAAAAACCCTTATTTTTCCACCAATTCCATTTTCTTTCCCACCACCATGTTCCTTTAGGGGCTCCATATGTTTCAAATTAATTTAGGCAACACAACATTATACGGTAATGTAATGTAATGTAGGCTACAGTATGAAAATAGATATTCATTTTTAGATGGCGAGAGATCACTTCCGGCGCTTGCCGGAAAAGACCGAAGCGCCGGCGCCATCAGATCACTTGGACGTGGCTGTGTTTACAAGAGGTAAAAACGATATAAATACTGTTCGTTTTCTCACACAAACTGCTCGTTTCGTGTCTTAGGCCATCAATGTGTACTTACATTTACGAGTCATTAAATCATGTTTAATTTGGACTTCTTGTTTAATTTGGTGCATGCTCTTTGAGGAAGTTACCATAGACCTGCATTATATGACTGACAGACAAGAACGGTTTGACCTAAAAATATAAAAATTGAATCTACTGCGGAAACAAAGACACCTACATCTTGGATGCCCTTGAGGTAAGCTAAAACATACCAAAAATTAATTTCAAAGTGAACTATCCCTTTAACTTTAAAAATACTAACTTCAACTTCAAGTCCGTGACACACCAAGCCGACATCAAAGAACTAGTGGCGACAAAGCCAACTGTGCTGTCGCCTCACGACGGCCGTGTCTCGGACAAAAAAATCGTTCGAACACTCCGCAAAGACTTCATCCAACTGCCAACTAGCATGTGTGTTCTGCACCTGCGTGTCAGGAAATAACAGTCTATATCAGCAGGTATAAATAGTCTATATTCATCATTCAAAGAGGAAAACCGAAACACTCCAGACTGCAGATATACAAACCGTAAACAAAGCAGCGCTTGCTTACCAGAAAACACCTCAAAAACTAGCCCGACAGACACTCGTTCAGCCCTAAGCCCTAAGTGAAGCATCAAAGTGAATAATATGACATAGAACTTCACAATCAAATCCTCGAGGAAATCTGTTTCATGGGATCTATAGACAAAAAAGCAAGCCATTCAAACATATTCCAAGTTTAGAATGGTCACAAAACAGTCAAATGAAAAAGCAAAGAAAGGACTGAGGCATCCAGATCTATTCACTAAACATCCGTCTGATGGGCTAATGATAATAGCACATGTTTAGAGGGGAAAACAACTGCGGCAGACACCAGAGCATGACCTTGGGTAACTTGGGTAATAATCAGCTTTCCTGACTTTAAGTTAAGGTCTAATTCAACTTTCAATCACTAAGAACATGTCCATGCTTATATATGGAGAAGAATGAAGAAAACGATGAAGAACATCTCTATCGATCATGAACTGGTTGCAGATTCATCAGGCACTGCAATACACTTACCAAACCTTTTGTAGCCAAAAGACTGCACTTCCTCTTCATCATTGAAGTCGTCTGCAAAAGTAACAAATGACAATGATATTAGTATCGCAAGTGCTACTGTACATGCCTGGTAATCACATGATGTCTTAGTATAATATCTGACACTGAAATATAATATTACAATTAGGCTATAGCTAGACTGTATATATACACATTATATCTACAAATAAATACATTGAAATTTAGTCTAGGTTTACGTTATATACACATACTGCCATTCAAACGTTTGTGATCTGTAAGATTTTTTTAAAGATTTTGAAGGAAGATTTTTTGTTCAGCAAGGCTGCATTTGTTTGATCATAAAGAACATCAAAACAGTAATATTGTGAATTATTATTACAATTTAAAATAACTGATTTCTAGTTTAATATAGAGAAATCATTTTAATATGCTGATTTGATGCTCAAGACTTTTCAACATTTGTTTATTATTATCACGGTTGAAAACAGTTGTGCTTCATAATATTTTTGTGGAAACAGGGATCCATTTTTCCCCAGGATTCTTTGATGAATAAAAAGAACAGCATTTATCTGAAATATAATTCTTTTTTTTTAACATTGTAAATGTATTTAGTCACTTTTGATCAATGTAATACATCTTTGCTGAATTAAAGTATTTTTTAAATCTTCTTTCTTACCCCAAACCTTTGAATGGTAGTGTATATTTCTTTAGTAAAATAGTATATATTAATCTACATTATGCACTAATAAACCAAACACAACAAGCTCTGACATTTCATAACACCAAATATATGACAGTATTCATATTGCTCCTAATATTGTCAACACATCATGCTGAGATAAATAACAAACAAATACATAACATTAGCTTTGGGAGTAATAAAAAGCATGTGGTCTGTATCTGATTCTTGAAATAACACTGGCCAGGATGGTCCATTCATGAGTTAACTAAATGATACCATCTTCTACTTCCTCTTCCTGTCCTGGAGCGCAGTTTGCCTTAGAGCGCTCTCTCATGTGGCTACCATGCTCATGGGAATGGAGAGGGGTGACTCCAGGCGGTTTTATGTGTCATTGTCCAAAGCCAGAGAAAATAAAGAAGGAACACATGTTTCTGTAGTTGGAGCCCACTCCCCCTCACTCTGATATTAAACCAGAGGAAGAACCGCAGGTGGGAGGGGGAAAGGTCCGTCAAGAAACCCTACAGAGTGCGACCTCAGGTCCAAAAATCCAACTGGACAGATATACATAACCCATAGAAACCTCAGAGTGGAAAACTAGGGAACAAACAGGCTTGGGACAAAGAATTGAGGACTGATGCTGATAGCTATTTCAGTATTTTCGCTGCAAATAAAAACACAACTCTGGGAAATGCACAGGAACAAAGCTCCCACACACCCAAAAAACAACATTTGTACAAAGCCACAGCCTGAAACATGACATTGCAAGAGAAATATTGCTTGAAATAAAACCTTTAAAGTTAAAAATGTTATGCATGGAGAAGAATCACAGAAGACCGCAGGATGACTCTTACTCAGAGGAACAGCATTTCACTGTGTGTGGTCTGAACACCCTTATTAGGTTATTTTCATGCCTTTTGCTCGGTTTACTAATCATTAATATGTCAATGCCTTAAATTGATTCATGGTAAATAAACATTTATCTAACCAAAAGATGAACCAAAAACAGCTACAGTATCTCATTTGTTTGAAGTCTGGCCAAAATCCAAGCAAACCACAGTTTGTCACTTTTTACAAATACCCCAGTCTGTGAAAAATACAACATCCTGCTTTTAGATACAAATTCAGAAGTGATTTGTTTGGGAATTGAACTGCAAATTCCAGTTGAAGCAAGATTCAGTAAATGTAAAAATGTCATATAGCCTCCAATGAATCACATGCCTATTGTTTTCAGTTCAGTGTGAATTCAAACAAAAGTTATGTTGAGATTTGACATTTCCACTAGATGGCAGCATTCTGATTGAAAATTAGAAGAACAGTGAAATGTTGCATAACTCATATATGGCACAAAAATATGATGTGAAGGCTTGTTGTTTGTCAGAACATCTGGCCATTGGTCATCCAAAAAGACTCAGGGTGGGGAGATGTGGGGGTTGTTTTTACTGAAAGTGGCTCTATGAGTCACACGTTTAAATTCTGCTGTGCAATCACGATGGGAAAACATCTTGGCTCTTAGAAGAACATGCAATTTTCAACAACCTCTGAAAATACAGAGGACCTTTTCATTTTTAATTATATAATTCTGACTTCATTTTCCCCAGCTCAACTTACCTTAGAATTAAGAGCACATGACACTTTTAAAGTTGTACTCAGTACATTTTTGTTGTTGTTAATCATCCCAATATTAGTGTTGTTAAAGATTATACTTAGACTAGCCAGGGATGAAACATTAGTTGCTGCTGCTCATTAACAAAGAAGCTGTTTGTTTACCATTTGGGCTGTTTTTGCTCTCTCAATTTTTTTTAAAATAATTGTTATTTTTGCACTTTTCCACACATTGATTGATTAAAAGATAGCTATTTGAAGCTATATGAAGTAAACATAATTGACTAACACAGCCATCACGTGATCTCAACATGGCCGCATCAATGAGGGTGGACCTGCTTCGTGCAGAATCAAAAGCTGTTTTTAGAAGACTGATATATCTGGAGTATTGATCTTATGTCAGTGTACATTGTTTTAATATTAACATAATATTAACTAACATTCTAGATATTTTTCAAAAGTGCTGTTTATTTATTTGTGTGTAAAACTTTAAGTTGCATTCCAAAAAAATACTGAGTGCACCTTTAATAATAATAATAATAAATCCAAACTCAACATTGGAAACTCAACATTAACACTTTAAAGTCTCTCAAGCTTAACAGAAAATTTTCAGAAATGAGAATTCATATATTCTTCAACCCTTAGAGGAACGTCTTCACACCCCGCCAGATAGTTCATTTGTAACGTGTTACGTGGCCATGCGTTTTCATTTTTTTTACAATAGCCCACAATAGCCGGTCAGCTACACAAGGTTGTGTATATCCTGGTATTCAGCTGTCTTATGGCAGTTCAGCCAAACAATCCGCCAACCTTAGACACCACGAGCAGTTAATCGCAACCAGATGTTTCATGCACTGGACTAACTCACATTCCTCTCACAAGAAAAAGAAAAGCAGAAAACTGCGAAACGCGTGGATAGACTCAAGAGACTTGCCTTAAAAAGACACAGCACTAAAAATGTGTAAGAAGAGGGTAATTTGAAATGCATCTTACCCTTCATTGTGGTAAAACTATGGTACACCGTTCGAGCCAAACGTTCACATCAATCTCATGACAATAGCGCAGACTCAAGAATAGCGCGCCGCTCGCGCACTTCCACGCTGAAGTTTCACAGATGTGAATATTCCACCTGAAACACGCGCAGTATGTTTTTCACCCCCTCAATGCCTGTGACTGACGCTAAACTTGTAAAAAGTAAGACACAAAAGGATGCTCAATAAGTCGTAGCAAACTGCTGCTCAAGACGCAAACTTTTCCCCTCTCTCCATGAGAACGTGTTCACGATGGAAATTCACTTGAGGTGAGTGAGGACTGAGGAGGATGCCTCCTCTTCTGCTTGTTGGCTGCAACCTGAGAAGAGAGAAGTTGGGAGTCCGCTTGTTTTCTACATGAACTTATTCTCCTAAAGGAAAAGCAGGTAAAAAGCAGCAGCAGCCGCAGCCTCCTCTACACTGAAGCTCTGAATATGCTGCATCGGATTCGCATCTGGAGTTAAACTTCCTCTGGCACATGGGAGGGTCTTGCACGTAGCACGAGTTCGTTTTTGTTCGGCTTAGAGTAGTGAAATCTTAACCTGTAATAAGAAACAGTATAGAAAACATTAGGCTACCTCTTAAACTAATTGGCCTATTTGTGTTTACCCAAAGCTCAACATTTATATTTTAAACTGTTCAACACTGTTATTATGATGGCTTAAAATGGGTTAAAACTGTGCTATGAAGTTTAAGCATCGAGTAGGCCCAATTTTGAGAGAAAAAAAAAAACAATTCTGTTAACAATTTTATGCTTCTGTTCTGACCTGGGGCTTGTTGTCACACAATAAAGTTATATATCTGTAATTTAGTTTGAGCCAGGGTTAGGGTTTTTGTGTTATAATTGTTTGACTTTAAATTTAGCCTGAAAAGCTTATGATAGGCTGTTTAAGGCAGGTACCACTGTGATCTTACCCCAGTGCGAAAATATTATCCATAACAAAATATCAAGATGTGTTAAAAAATATAATGCATTAAAACACATGACCAACACCAAATGTTTTATTACAATAACATAAACATAATATATATATATATATATATATATATATATATATATATATATATATATATATATATATATATATATAGTTGCTCTATATAGAAAGTGTTACTGAATCGTTTTTTTTCCAATCAGTTATGGCGTGTGCTTTTTTCAAAATAAATGGCTCTGAATCCCAGGACTGCCAAGTGTAAAGTCCTTTGCGTGCATTGACTGTTGCTCAAAATTGCTTGCACTATTGTTCCGCTCCCTTCGGGTTTAATAAGCACACAGCTCATTTTGTTCTTTCTTTGCATTTCTCTCTAAATCCCTTTGCCACAGGGATCCGTGATTAATTATTTGACATCCCGCTGGATTGTTCAGAATCGTGTGATCTGTTGCACCACACAAGTCTAGCACAGCACTGGCCTGAAATGTTTTTCCAACTTAACGAGGCTAAGCACTAATGTAAAAAAAAAAAAAAACTCTACCGTATTAAAGCTGCACTGCTCGGCTCTAAACCGACTTTATTTGCCCTCTTAAGTATCTGGAAGCTTTTGTGCCAGAGCAGGTGGCTTATCCATTTTTATTTACCTTAGAAATAAACATTTACTATCAAACTTACTAAACTTTACCATGGTAACCAAAGTTTTGGCCAAAATACCATAGTTACAGTTATGAAACCAAATAATTCTGAAAGCTTCTTGCAGTATTTGAAGGACATCCAATATTTATATGGTTTTACTGAAAAAAAAATTGTACATTTTAATTTTCAAGGTGACTATCATTTTATACTAAACCAATGTTTTCTTCTCATGTTCTGCTGTTTTATGTATTCTTCTGAGGTTCCAGTAATTCACCCTCAGTCTGCCAGCCACCAGGTCTTTGGCAGTAGATGAGCGCGACAGGTCCAGATAGGGTTATGAGAAACAGGTGTGTTTAGACTTAGCCAAGATGGACATACCAGTGGCCCATATTGCTGTTTCTCATTAGAGGTTAGAAAATACTATTTTCAGGGTCACAAGCCCTGAAGAGAGGGGCACTTTTACAAGGACATGGTGCGCTAATGAGAAATGTGAGGGGAATGTGGGCCTACCACATCTTTGTTGCCAATTTATGCTTTGAGGTTGACTAGGCTTTTTTTTTTTTTTTACTTGTAATATAGATGCAAAACTATTTAGACTTTGTCAAAATGATCATACAATAAGAACAAAATAAAATGTATGCTATAAAACAATTAGCATACACTACCACTTTTGCTTTTGTTTTAGAAATGCATACTTTATTTCACAATGTTATATATTTAACAATGTTACTAGTTTACTCTAACATTGTGATATATATATATATATATAGTTATTTATACATATATAGATAGCCTATATATATAGTCATTTATAAATTATATAGTCATATATATATATATATATATGTATATATATAATTTATTATTATAACTATCACGCATGGCTGAATTGGCTGGATTACATGTTGGACGGCCATAACCTTTAAATGCTTTAATTGGATCGTCTCTGGTTCTACTTATAAATAGAAGCGTCTAGGTAAAGATAAACAACACACCTTCCCTGTTCACAGGAAACGGCATCAATCACATTGCATAGTCAGACATCAGTAGGATTTTTCTGGTGAGTTCCTCTCCTATGATCTTTATAATGTTAGATAGCTCTGTTTATGTATCTTCCATAATGTATGAAATATGAGCATGGTTTATTTATATTAATATTATTATAATACTTTCATACTTTAATTTTCAGAGATGTTTAATTGGTGAGAATTATATAATCACACAGTGTATTTTACTGTGGACAGAAATCAAATATGACAAACATAATTTGCCATGTTGATATATTGATGATCTGATGATGATCTAATTACAAAAGGATTAATGATGAACATAAGCAATTAGGCATGAACATTTACTCTAGATAATTTTAGTATGTCAGAATAGCGCTAATTTTATACATGCATAAAGTTAGCTGCCTGTAAAGTTACCTTTACTTGTTCATTACTTAAGCAGTGATTATATGGATTTAAAAGCACATCCTATTTTTGACACTATTGTGTAACACCCTGCTGATCGAACTGAGGCGCAAATCATGGCAGAAAATGATGTGCTGATTGTTTTACCAGCACTCAGACACCATAGAATGTAAAAGTTTAACAACATTAGCTTTTGACTTCAACTTGCCAAATGTGGTGGCTCTGTTGTGTTCATTTAAGACAACAGATGGCCATGAAGTAAAGCTGGTGAACTTGTGAACCTCTGGTGGTTTTTCAACATGTTTCTTGAATATTTAACTTTGTTTTTCTAGATTACCTGGATTATTTATAATGTGGGAAGAATCAGTATAGAGAATGCTTTGCCTTCAATAACACCTCATATATATATATATATCGGTTTATAGTCACAAGACTTGTTTGGCTCTATATATTTAGTTATAGCACATTCTGTAGCCTAATGTTTTAAACTGCCTAATAGGCTATTACATATTCTGCCTCCTTAATCCCAGAAAGAAGCTTTTAGAGATCAATTGGCTCTCTTGAAGTGGAAAACATAGATTAGATATAAAGATAAACAAAAACTGACCGCATAGACTAAAGAATGACAGAGATTGACTTTGCCTGAAGGTCATAAAACAGTGAAATTCATCTGAACGGTTCTCTCATAAGGTGTAGCACCACATAGTGGTGCTTATGGGTAGGCTATTTTTGGATTTGATGCGTATCTTGGCGTTTCCATCCAGTGTTTTTTTTATACGATGTGCCTATCTCAAAATTCGCATAAAAATAGGTGGATCCCAGCTAACAATCTTTGGTAGGCTACGTTCTTTTTTAAGGTTTGTTTTTGGTTAGCCAGGAAAGTTTTTACATTTCTTTAGCCTCAAATAACAACGACTTCAACTCAATATGTTTTTTTCAAATCTGAAATGTATTCACTGACATTAAAAAACGAATAAATAATGATTTGACTTAAAGTAGGATATAGCCTACTACTAGGGTTGCCACCTATGTCTGATAAAAAACCGGGACATATTACCCGCCCAACTGGGGGGGGGGGGGGGGGGGGGGGGGGGGGGGGGGGGGAGAGGGGTGTTTGAAGACCAAAAATGAACGGTTGAACACCAAAATTTAAATTTTAACTGTAGGCCCGCCTATACACCAAATGCTGCGCAAAAATATATCCTATATTCGCGTATTTTCAGATTTTTGTTCATGATTTTTTTTTTGCCCCTTTAATAAGCATTTAAAATATTCACAAATTATATGGATAAAATGGTTTTCTAAGGCCAAACACTATATTTCTAAGGCTATAGATGATTTATAGGCTATTATAAATGTTTCTGAAAAAGTAACGAGGCATTTTAATTGTTTATTAATAAACTAGTATTTTCTAAATCGGCTGCAACATATCTCCATCTCCGCTGTAAAGCAGATGCGCCTTTAGAGAAGAAATTCATATGGATTACATAATCAGACTGTATTTTCTTTTGATTCGAATTTGTTCGTTTAAAAGTGGACATTTCAAGCTTTAGCCTATGGGCTTGTTTATTTTGAGACGCGATCCAGTTCACGGAGACCATAAAAGAGCGCGACTGATTGTTTTATTTTATTTTACAAAAGCACAACGTTTTCTTGTTATTGTGAGTTTACACAAATAAAAGTAGTTGCGAATGATGTATTGTTGCGAATGATGTTTATTTTCTATGACCAGAAATGATAGAGTAGTAGGCCTATTTTAAGTTGTTTCCACTGTTGATAGAAAAACGGAAGTGCTCGCGCCCGCGCCTCGTGCAGCAAGCGCGCTCCACACTCAGATTACATGCGCTTCTTATGCGCTTCTTGAGGCAGACTCGACTCACACTAGCACACACACGCAAGGTCTCTCGCTCTCTGCCGTTGCGCGCGCTACACAGTTTGAACATACATATTCACGTAGCCTTTCGAAAACCGGGACATTCAGTGTCCCGGGAGAGTGCGTAAATTTCCCGGGACAGGTTATTAAAAAGAAGGACAATCCCGGTAAAACCGGGACAGGTGGCAACCCTACTACTTCTTACAGCTAGCGGGACGTGCTTCTTTTGGTCCGTATAAAGACTTCTCGATTAACATCATGTTCTCTTCAATAAGGCCGTCAAATCTATCCGAAATCATATAGCCTACTCTAACATCTATATCAATTATAAGTAATTATTCAATAAAGAAATTGATAAACGGATATTAGTCAATCAGCCAGTAAAAATAAATTAAAAATTAAAAACGCGAGTGCGCGGTTTTCTGTGGTAGATAGGTGAAAGCGCGTGCTGGAGAAGCGCGTGCAGAGCGGAGGCGCGCAGTAAAATGAAGATAGAAACAAAGCCACGAATGTATGATATCATTACTGTGCTTTTCACACTATGCTTAACCTTGGCTTGATATTTTAGTTATAAAGTTTGATTCATCTAACGGGTTTTGATTGATCACGTTTCAGCTATATAAATAGCCTATAACCCCAACAAATAACCATTAGGCTATGGAACGTTCTGTATAAGTCATTTTTAGGTTATTTAAAAATAACCTCCCTACAAAGTTCTGGGAACGTTACTTTATGGTTGCAAAAAAACTAAAAAAAAAACTAAAAGGAATTTGGTTTGAAATTTGGTTCTCAAAAAAATAACCAAATGGGATCCAAATAGGCCTAGCTTAGCCTACACTAACGTTCTGTGTTTGCTGAGATGAACACTGATTGGGGGAAAAGGTGAGAATAGTCAAAGATGTTTTGTTGTGTATTACATAGCCTAAGGCTATTATATATTACCTTTCAAAAATCACTTTCGACTATTCAATGCAAGTCTCCGAACCACCCATGGAACCACCTAGTGCACCTATAAGAAAAGTAGGCCCATTGATTAATGCCACTTAGAAATAATAATGTTTAGTCCAAAAAAATAAAATGTAGGCCTATACTAAAAACAACATAATTCAGAAAATTAAATAATTATTTGTTATTTACAGGTATTGTTTTTTCTTTTGAGCCTGTCAAAGTTGCTGAAGATGAGGGCGTTGATGGTTTTATTGGCGTCTCTGGGGGTCTTTCATTGTGCCCCTGGTACCACCCTTCCTCCGATATCAGCCAACACTCTCAAACGTGAGTGCATCCTATATTGCTAAAGAGATTCATATACACTAAATGAATAATACACTAAAGCCAGGGAACAATCTTATGACGTCTAAATGCCCTGACATATGATGGTCTTTTAGGCCTGTCTCTGGAAGGGGAGAAGCTAGTGGATCAGGAGGTCAGCAAGGCACTGTACGGAATCAAAGAAATGAAGGAGGTGATGGCCAGTAATGAAGAGAAACATGCAAACCTCATGAAGTCTCTCATGCACAATGGGGAGAAGAAAAAAGTCAGTGAACAAGCTTTTTTTTAAGAAACTAAAATGAATAGTTTTTCTACTGGTGTTAAACAAAAAAAAGTAAACATATTATAAAATACCTTCTTACACCATCAGGGGGCAGCAGAGATTGCACAGAATGTAGAAAAGAAGCTGAATGAAGCCGAGCAGCAGTGCAAAGAATCTCTAAAGTCCTCCTGGGAGGAATGTCGACCTTGTCTTGAGGACACCTGTAAGAACTTCTATACGAACACCTGCCGCCGTGGATTCGCCACCTTCACCAATAAGGTACACCATTCTAATGCGGAGTATAACCCCTGAGAGAGATGGTTAGGTTAACTACTGAGTAGAAATACACGGTAACACCTTATTTTACGGTGTCTTTGTTACACGTTACATGTGCTTGCTATAATAGTAAGAGTAGGTAAATAACAATTACATGTAACTAACCTTAAACCCGACCCTAATCATAACCCCATAGAACATGTAGTTAATTATTATTACATAATACATTATAATGCATAGTTACACTGTCACACGGACGCCTTGAAATAAAGTGTATCCAAATACACCACATTTATCTGTGCTTGATTCTCACTACATCCAATCCATCTACTCATACAAAAGTGGTGGTACAATGCACTGAAAAAAGGACTTTTTGAAATTCATATTTCACATGCTTATTATTTATTAATTAATAATTGAAAATATGTATAAATAATTTAACATTAATTTCATATTTAATTAAAATGATATATTTTAAAATAAATCAAACTAGTAAAATAGTAGTGGGATACAATGAAATCAACTTAAGTTTGACTTTTTCTCTTTCCCACAGCTACAAAACTTCTTCCAAAGAACGAGCTCTCGCTTTGGCCCTCGTGATGCTCAGGATGAGGTAGCGTTGAACCAGAGCGCAGAGAATCCTGACCTGGAGGTGGTGAGAATCGAGGACTCCTTTAGCAACCTCCTCTCTAAAGTGGGAACACTGGTCAATCGTAGTGCAGTGCTGGTCTCCCACTTTCACCATGAGCTGGACCAGGCCCTACGCAGAGCCTTCAGCCCTGAGCTTCAGGGAGACAAAGAGAGTGAGCTGGCTCTCAAGCCTGCCAACAAAGCTCTGGATTCTGCCTTTCTGGAGGGTGTGGGCCTGGACGATGTGCTGGAGTCCTTCTTTGACTTTGGGAGAAATGTGTTGGAGGAGTTTGGGGCCGTAATCACACAAGCCTTCAGTGACATTCATGATGCTGTGGAGAAGACAGCGAAGGAGGAAGGTGCTTGAATCTGATACATTTGGGATTGATCAGTCAACCAAAATTCTGTCATTTAAACACACACAAGTTTATGTAAAAAACAGAACATTAATGTCCGTTGGTGTGAACAGGCCTTAACTCTCTCTACATGTGTCTGTATTTACCCCAGAGAAGAAACTCTTCCCTCAGTTTCTGCAGAACAGGAGACTGTGCAGAGATCTGCGCAGACAGTCCTCAGAGTGCTGGCAGCTGCAGAGCAAGTGTGAGGCCTGTCAGGGAACCTTGTTTACTGGTAAGAGCACATGCTCACATCAATTAGTCAAATAGATAGTTCTCCATATAGAAATCCATGTAACCGGTGTTGTCCCAGCTCTTTAGACCACAGTCTTGTTTAAGACATTATTCACTGATAATCTTACTTCTAGATCTGAGTCAGTGAGTTGAATTCGAGAACTATGGCAAACCGTTTTAGCTTTTAATGTTCCCATGCAGCGTTACTTGTCACAATTGCATTTTTACTAGTAACATGTATGATTAGAGAGCTCTACAAATAAATGTTAAGTCTCCATTGACTTACATTTATTTTTAATCACACAAGCTCTACAAATTAACATTGTTTATTATAAGTACGTGCTGCAGTTCCTCTGTGCAATATTGTTCCTCTTTGCTATTATTATTATTATAATCGTGGTGTGGACAAAACCATCTTTTTCGTTCTAGTTATTGTCTTTGGTGTGAAATTACCTTATATGATGACAGATTTTTCATTTTTGCTTGAACTGTCCTATTAACCCTTACCAGTCATGTTGATCTTGTCAAATGCTTATTGAGTGCCAGAATGCCCAAATGTAAGAGAGCTGCACGTCGAGTTGGATGAGGTCTCTCAGCTGTTGGAGGCGTCAAAGCAGCAGTATGAGGAGGTGCTGGGAATCGCGCAACGTCATACTAACGACACCATCAGCTGGCTCAGCAACATGGCCTCCGACTTTGGTTGGGTGACTGAACTCGCCAATAACAACACCACTCCTGAGAGCATCTTCAGCATTGCCACGGTGAGACACTAACCAAAAAGTAGCATGGTATTGCCATTGATTTTTAGGCATAGTAACATGGTAACACTATGGTATTTTGGACATGTAGCACAATGGTAATCATTCAGAAGGTGAGAAAAAGCTAAACAAACAGTAGTGGTAGATTTACCCAAGAAAATAGTAAAAAAAAAAAAAAAAAATCAGATACTAAATCCGTTGACCCCAAATAACAAGGTGGTGGCACAGACTGAGGAGAGCAGCAACACTCCAGCAGCAGTTACTACAGTGGAAGTGAATATTCTAAACTCCCCCACTCTCACCCTGACTGTTCCTGCGGCTCTCAGGCTGCAGGATCCCGCCTTCATCCAGTATGTGGCGCAGGAGGCTCTGGGCGTGTACAAGCAGATGGCCAGGTCAGACACTTTACAATTAAACAATGTCAGAATACTTCACTCATCAGCACACATTTCACAGGGACAGGTTAAAGTCCCCATGAATTCAAAATTGACCATACTTACTTTGTTTGCCTAAATTGATCGTTTTGTGGTGAACAATTCATCCATGCAAATCAATCCACACAAAAACATTTTTTGGCTTCAAAATCTTTCATTAAAATCTGAAATTTCCCCTCCCCTCTGCATTGGAGGACCTTCCCTGATGACGTAGGTTTGGCGGTTTGGGTGTCTGCTTAACATCCGTAACCACGCCCCTCCAACTGACAGTAGACAGGCTGAATGAAAACACCTACTTTTCTAGATCCAATCAGGTGCTAGTTGGAAAAAAAGCCACGGCCACTATTTTGCCTCATTTAGTATTCCGTTTCTCTCGTAAATACGTCACAACACTGGAGAAAAGTCGTTTGCAACTTCCGGTTCACGGGGACTTTAATATATCATAAAGAGAATACTCCTCAGTTCAATTGCATAAATCAGTTCTCAACCAGGGGGTGACAGGATGACTTAAAAGTATTTCAAATTAAAAAAAAAAAAATAATAATGAACCTTTTAAAGTCTACTGTATCATATTTGATACATGAATTGCTCAGTCCTCTAAATTGTCAACATTATCAAAACTTTGCTGAAAAATACTTAAACCTCTACATGTCTTCTGCACTCTGATTGATCGTTCGTAGTTTTTTAGCAGGTACAAAAATATAACAGGCTTTTGATGGATGTTTATTTGTTTTCTCAATTATCATTGTCCTGTATTGCATTATATGTTTGCTTCCCAAAATTAAAACTACATAGCTTTGATCATAAAACTAAGCATTTAAATATCATCTTAGTAAGACATATTATTAAGAAACAGAGTGACAACTGAAATATTTATATTACAAGCTATTAGAATTTTATCTTATTTTTTGCTATATAAATAGCATCTGCACCAAATTGCATTTTTTTTGCTCTGTTTGGGCTCCTGAATAAAATTAAGGTGTGGAAGCCCTCACTATATCACTCAAGTGTGATACAAAAACATACAAAATATGCAAACTTTGCTTTTCTTTTATATTTTGTTATGTTTTAAATGTTCAATAAAGTTCCAATTTAAACAATTCGATTTTTTTGATAAGGAACCCCTTGAATAATTATTGTTTTAATGAACAGAGTTCAGGGGACCTTCAAGTCAAAAAGTATGGCATAAATGATTTTGGTGCAAGAACCAGGTTGTTTTTCTGTAGACTATAGTATGTAGTGAGTCTAAAGGCCTGTTCATACAAAGGACGATAACTATAAAGATATAGTTCAATTTAAATTAATCATTCTAAATATAAAAAGAATAGCAGAGTCCAAACCACAAGTATAACAATAACAGCAGAGAGGAACGATATCGTTGGAAGCACTTTTTTTCTTTTTTTTTAGTCGATGAACGATAAAACATTGACAGTCCATCCTGCTTAAAAGAGCTCAAAGCATTTATATCGACAGACGACAAACTGCAGCGCACACCAAGAATAATCAGAACGATATCGTATGCTGGGGTGGACTGGACTCTAATATAGTTATCGTTCTTGGTGTGAACGGGCCTGCCTTTAATGCTCACATATGACTCGGCTCTAACAATGTATTTTTTTCTTTTTCTTTTAGGCATGAGGATGTGTAATCAAACTACAAGTCATCAGTTTTCATCCAAGCACTAACCAGGGTATACTGCTAAAGAGTACACAACTATATATTGTGTTTACTTGGGCTTAGTTAAAAAAAAAAAAAAGTTATTGCAAGCATTGTCAAATATTTATGGTGTGATGTGACAGGTTCCAAATAGCTGCAATTGAATCTTGTCTTGTGTTAATTGACTTAAACATCAGTATGTCTGAAATGTACACTACCGTTCAAAAGTTTGGGGTCAGTGAGAATTTTATTTGTATTTTTTGGAGGAAAGAAATCAATACTTTTATTTATCAAGGAATAATTAATTTGATCGAAAGTGACAGTAAAGACATTTATAATGTTACAAAAGTCTTTTGAACTTCCTATTCATCAAAGAATCCTAAAAAAAAAAAAAAAAAAAAAAACTGTACAACTGACAGACCAACAACTGTTTCAACATTGATAATAATAATAAATGTTTCTTGAGCATCAAATCCTCATATTATACTGATTTGTGAAGGATCATTTGACACTGAAGACACTGACACTGGTGATGCTGAAAATTCAGCTTTGATCACAGGAATAAATTACACTTTACTATATATTCACACAGCAAACAGCTGATTTACACTGGAATAATATTTAATACTATAACTGATTTTTGTTGTATTTTTAATCAAATAAGCGCAGCCATGGTTAGCAGAAAAGATTTCTTTTAAAAGTATTTAAAATCGTACCGACCCCAAACTTTTGAACGCTAGTGTAGTTATAACACACACACACACACATATATATAAATATATCACAGTGTGATTGTAAATAGGCATTACTGAATAATCACTGCTTAAAATAATCATTTACTTTTAGTGCAAAACCATTTGCCTAGTTACTTGCATCAATAGGCCTATGTGTGTTCACTTTAAAATACTATAAACGTTTAATTCAATTATCAGGAATGTTTCTATGCAATCCTTCTAGTATTATGATGTAGGCTACTGCAAAAGTCATACATTCCCTTTTTTCCTCTCATGTAGCTTCCATATGTTTCCGTTCAGTCCCAGTTCAAATGTTATCCATCTAAAAATGTTCAACTGATAAAACAATTTCACAAATGTCTGAACAAAAACACAAATCATGATTTGCAAATAACCCACATACACTTAAAATCATTACGTAAAACTTTATTTTTTACTGTACAAATTCTTCAGATTAGTAATCGTAACCATTTTCACAACAATGTCATTAAAACTCTGCAGCGGAGACCATCACCTCATATCAGAGTACTTTCTCTTTTCTGACACAAAGAACAAAAATTGATAAAAGAGTTTTGCTCAAACTTGCCTGTAGCCCTTGTAAAACAGGAGGTGATGATGGGAAAGATGTTTAGGTGATGTCCAGGATAAAGACAGGACACAACAAAGTCCCTAGGACAAAGGGCTCACATACAGGAAGGACAAAAGCAAGGCCTCTCTCTCTACATATATGAAAAGCTACACGACAAAGGGGAGAAGAAATCAACAAATTAACCCTCAAAAAGATATCCGTCTGATTCATCTCAAGTGCATTCAATTCCTTGTCATGGGTGAAATGAACCCGTTACAGAAAATACATGACCAAACTCAAACATTAAGACTAAATCTGTAATAGTGGTGCAAAAACTGATGTCTATTTTACCCTCTCCATTAGACTTGTACCATTTTTATTTTTAGTGATTTCGTCAAACTTTGGTTGGTAAATGGTCTTAATCTGTAGTACCTGAATATTTCACAGTGATCGATGCTTAAACAGGAAATGCAACGACTCCACCAGCAGCAAACATGATACATCGCGGTGAACGAGTTAAAAAAGGCTTCATGCAATTCTGATTCCTGTTCAAGAAACTTGCAAAAGAGTCAAAAACAAACGGATCTGTTTCAAATAATTTTTCGAGCAAATTCACATTCGTATGTCAGAATGAAGAAACCATGGCTCTCTTGCAATATACTGAAATATTTGTGTCTGAAATAAACTGTGGAAGATCTATAAATCTCTCTGGTTCATTTATTGGAGTGTACATGAGAGAACAATGAATTTGTACCAAGAGTTTGGCACTACAAATGTGTTGGCACGAAAAACACAAACCTGGCAGTGTCGGAGCTGATGCGTGTAAAAAAGAAACTCAGGCATTGCTGTTGTGATATTAAGACTTGTCAGGTCTCAACAGCAGCGTGAGGAATGATGTTTGGACTGCTCAGGTCTGGTGTTTTGATAATAAAATGTTTCTCTCCTAAATTACTGTTGAATAATTCAAGACAAAAATAAGATTTATAATAATGACTTTTTGCTTGACAATTAGCAGCTGGCTGAAATGGCGATTGGTCATCAGAAATGTTTTTGTGCAGGCTTTTCAATATGAATCATCTCCCAGGATATGAATTCAAGCTCTCATAAAGACTGAAACTGAAATTAAGAAACCTACTTAAAAAAAAAAAAAAAAATCATGATTTGCTATAAAAGTGTTTTAGTGAAAAAATCTGCCCCTTTAATCAATCGTCCGCAAACTTAAGCTCTCATACATTCAGAACGGCTAATGCCCTCATGTCTCTCTCTCTTTTTGTCTTTCTCCAACTTCCTCAGTCCCGTCCCAGCAATTAGGTTCAACCAATTCAACCACAGTTATTGGTCACTTTTAATAAACTACTCAAACTACTAAAAAACTAAATAAAAGGGAAAAAGACAAAATGAACAACGCTAAAATAAGAAAGACTGATTTTACAATAGGATTTAGTGTTCAGGTGAAAAGAATACAGACAAATAGATAAAAAAAATAAAGAAAAAAACAGATTTTGTGCAACTGTGAACCAGCCATCAGCACGAAGCTCATCGCTTTTTTTTTTCACAACTCCCTCTGTCTGTAATGCAGGGTATCAGCCCAGCAGAGTTCTGGGAGCATGACGTGGTCCTGCTTCAAACCCCCTCATACACACGTCGCCCTCATCAACTCCACCACACACACATCCTCAGGCAAAGCACAGCCTGATGACAAAGGTCATGCTGTGAAAGATGCGTTTTATCTGCTAATAGAGTTTTTACACTTGATTCTTGAGTGGGAAAAGAAACAAATCTCTGTAAGGACAAGTGTGCAGGGGAGCTGTTGGGAGGAAGTGCCACAATGGGTTTGAGAACCGTCCTGGTGGCTTATTAGCACGTGGTGGTGAGTCTCTGGGTCCCGTAGAGGGTCTCTACAGGTTGTCTCCGGGCTGGTACTGTGGCTCAGTGGCTGTAAAGTAGTCCTCCAGGAAGGACTGGATGTACTCGAAGGTGGGCCGCTCATCTGGCTCTTTCTTCCAACAGAGCCGCATCATTTCGTGTAGCGACTCCGGGCAGCCTTGAGGACACGGCATCCTGTAGCCCCGCTCCACCTGCTCCAACACTTCTCGGTTCACCATGCCTGAAAAACAGTTGATACAGAGTCAGTTTGTCCAACCGCCCACTGTTCAGCATCCAGACTGCCTCAGACAGGATATGAGGGGTGTGTAATTACTGCAGACACTTCGCTTGGAACCCACGGAGGACAGGAGTGTTGAGGACAGAGGGGACAGACAGTCTGGTGCTACGTAAGAGGAAAGGATGTGTAAAGCAGTAGATTGCCTGTGTTCAAGAGCTCTCTCACGGGAAAGAGACTTTTCCTGGACCGCATATGTAGATTCTTAATCTTTATGTAGGCGAGAAACAATGATGACTCGCACAACAATAAGGCTTACGCATGCTAACTCAAATCAATACATCTTATATTAAGTGGAGAGTTAAAAAGCTGCTGGATTTCCTGAAACGCTTAAGACTATTAAGGTTGTCATATTACAGATTATAAACTTTCTCCATAACTTCAGTATTTGGAATCACTATTAAATCAAACTGATTAATTTAATCAAATTGAGTCAAACTACTTATTTCCCAAGGAAGGATTAAACATCAAAAACTACAAAAGACATTCCATTTCAAATGCCATATTTTACAAACTCTGTAGTGAAAAAGAAATAAGACGCAATGCAGCGTAAAAAAGAAAAGAAAAGAAAAAGTAATTAATACTTTTCAGCAAAGATGCATTAAATTGATCAAAAGTGACAGTGAAGACAATAATGTTACAAAAGATTTCCATTTCAAATAAATGCTGTTCTTTTGAACTTTCTATGCATCAAAGAATCCTGAAAAAAATGTATCATGGTTTTCACAAAAATATTAAGCAGCACAGTTTTCAACATTGATAATAATAAATGTTTCTTGTGCACCAAATCAGCATATTAGAAAGATTTCTGAAGGATCATGTGACACTGAAGACTGGAGTAATGATGCTGAATATTCAGCTTTGTCATCACTGGAATAAATTACATTTTAAACTTAAGAATTTTTTCTTTTAAACTCTGCCTGAAGGCCAGCCCAGCATCATCTCAGTCTTCTCTTCGCCGTTACAAATGAAAGTGCTGTTTAGAGTGCAGCGTTCAATGAAGCTGCCAGCTGAGCACCAGTGAGAGGCTTGTTTCTCAGAGACTGTGATATACTCCTCATCCCTCTCTCTCTCTCTCTCTCTCTCTCTCTCTGCACTGTTTGATGCTGTTTGCTTTCTTCTCTCAAAAACAGTAATATGTAGAATAGCCTTCCGAGAAATGTGCTTCTTTTCAGCCTTTTTTAAACCAAAATTCTGTACTGCAGTTTTCACACTTTCAAATTCAGCTGCACAACTGGCCTAATAATAAGAAATCAAAATAGTGCATTAGAATGGTTCCTTAAGAATTTCTATGAACTCACGTGTTTTTAGCAGACTGGAGTACTGACTGAAAGTGGAACTTTGCAAATCACATGTAAAATCAGATTTTGAAATATAGAAAATTGTTGCAACAGTAATTAAAAAATTGGGGCTTGGAAATATTAAAACGTTATTTTCTGTGATTAATCTTTGTTATTTAAACATTAAAAATAATTAAAGCAGCATGAGTTTTTACCCTACTAGTGTTATTTATAAATGATAAATAAAAGCAGTCTGATAAGTTGCAGTTAAGGCATGTCTGTCAATTATACCCTAACATTTAGAGGCTGTACTTATTCACTGTATCCTCAGAAATTGTATCAGTACTGGTATCACTGGCCATTAAAAAAATATTTAAAATATAAAATATTTAAAATACTGTATGTGGTTTCTATATTAATATGGAGATTCAATGCAAAAAAATATATTTATGATAAATTTGAATGTCAGGAGCGATTAAAATCGCAATAAATTACAGAAAACTGTGATTTAGGTTTTTCGGCATCGCTATGAATAATCATAAATAATAATAATATTAACGTTGTTTTTAATAATTAGAAAGCTGCATTGGTGAACAGAATAATCTCAAATTACTGGGGTTCAAAACTACAAACCTGTGGCAAACAGCCCAGATCTTTAACCACCATGCCAAACTTCTAGCTAACTTCCCCGCACTTGAACAAAGTTGTCGCTTTAATCCAGCCTTATCTGGCGCTCTGCATGGAAGCAGATGTCCATCAATAATGGGCCGACTCTAATAGTGTACGACTGAATGATTGATGAAAGCCTAACTGGGTTTGTGATGTGCAGCATCAGTGAGATGCTTTAGGTAAGCACTACAAATGACAGACTAGGCTGTGTGACAAGTGCAGAGAGGGAAGAGACAGATGGTGTTAAAAAAGAACTGGTGCCCAGTCAGTCTTTCATGCCCGCCTCAGCCAGATGGCTCCTTCAGAGTAGTAATAACACACCCAGCAGTGCCTCTCTCCTCCAGTAGGGGGCACAGTGGAATCTGCACCTCTCAGTTTGGAGTTCCACCAACCCTGCTTGAACACACCTGCCTGTACATTTTGTGTAAACCTGAAGACCATGATTAGCTGGTTCAGGTGTGTCTGGTGCTGTATGATACTAAAGGGATAGTTCACCCAAAAAAAGAAAAAGAAGAAAAAAAAAAGGAAACCTGTGAGGTTTCTGTCCCTCCATTGAGAGTCCTTATTTCATAAGGTCATAAAGGTGTCATAATCCAAGTGGTTTAAACCAAGTCTTGTGAAAATAAAATCCATTTATATGATTTTTTTTTTATTCACATGTAAACACATACATAGAGTACATCACATAAGGTAAACATGGAAGCTAGTTGATTCTTGAACAAACCTTATTGATTCTTGTGCATCAGGCAGGCACGTTTGAGCTTCCGTGTTTACCATATGTGATGTGCTTATGTATGTGCCGATTATTGTTTAGATGTGGAAAAAAGAGCCAAAATTAAATCTGTCCATCAAATAGATCATATCTCTTCACAAAACTTGGATTAAACTGCGCCATTAAAACCTTTTTGGATCTTCTAAATTTTGGTTACCTAGACTCTTAATGGTGGGACAGAAACCTCTCAGGTTTCATTAATAAAAAAATCATAATTTGTGTTTTGCAGATTAACAAAAAGGTTTGGAACGACATGAGTGGAAGTAAATGACAGAATTTTCCTTTTTGGGTGAACTATCCCTTAAAATATGCACACAAGTTTACCTCAAACCAAATTAAAGTGCAATAATGATACAATGAGTGAGTGGAAAAAATATATTTTTACTGCTGAATCATATGTAATATTTCTCACCTGGATATGGCACTCTGCCCTTGGTCACCAGCTCAGTCAGCAGGATCCCGAAGGACCAGACGTCAGATTTGATGGTGAATCGGCCGTACAGCGCTGCCTCTGGTGCAGTCCACTTAATGGGAAACTTGGCTCCTATAGGAACAATGACACAATCTCTAAATTACTGCAGTAGAGTCAATGGCTATTACTAAAAGCAAATGTCAGCATTTTAAAACATCCCTTTGACTTCTACACAACTCAATTCAATGGATAATAGGAAATTTAGTTGTTTTGCCATGTTATTGATAGTTAAAGTAGTGAAGGGAATATGAGAATGCCATACATCGATCACGAAGGATCACTAGTGAAACAGCTACAAAAACAAATGCATGTGTCATTTTCTCTACTGCCCAGAGGCCTTTGCGCTTTCAAGACTCCCTGCGAGGAAAAATCATCATCAATTTATGTAGGTAATGACAAGTCAACTTATTTTTCACAATCACAGTGCATTCTGGTAGATAATGGATTCAGATAGTAATTGAGGTCAGTAGCAGCATTGTTCCAGACTAAAGATTGTGAGTTACATATTTCATCACACATATTTTGTGGATGAAAAAACCCCCAGCTTGCTTTCATTTTCAAATCAAGCTTTGGGTTTATAATAATGTTTAAGGCCATTATGGGTTGAGTTACAGATGAACAAAATGTTTGGTTCATGTCACTTGTGCTTAACACACATACATATAAAAAAAGTAACTTATTCACATTAAACATGGAATTATACAATTAAATATATATATGCTGTGATTTCCATTCAGGCTCTGTAAATAGAATTTGCACAGGGGTATAATAATTATAATAATAGTGTTTAAATTATTTTTGATCCACTTTCTTCATCCACTATTCATTGACAACCCAGCAGAATATTATTATAGAAATATAATATAATTTTATAACATTATGCGCTGCTTACATTACACACTACTTCACCGGAAAAAGAGACCAGAAAGATTTCTACATTCATATAAAATTCCCTTAGTCGGATGGCAATACATGATTAGAATTTAAAGTACATAATAATCGTGATTATTTTAAATATATCCGCAATAAGATGAATCATGAACAGGAAATTATGTAATTATCGCTTCAGGCCAAATTATAGAAAGTGTTAATATTGCATTTCCATCCACATACCTTGTCTAGCAGTGTATTCATTGTCTTCAATCAGTCTAGCCAGGCCAAAGTCGGCAATCTTGCAGACCAGATTGTCTCCCACCAGGATGTTAGCAGCCCTCAGGTCTCTGTGGATGTAGTTCATCCTCTCGATGAAGGCCATACCATCTGCAATCTGGGCAAGACAACAGGAAATCAAGCCTCCAGAAACGCGTCTAAAAACCAACCTGTCGGATCCAGTCATGGAAATCCTATTTTAGGAGCGTAAGAATGCTGCATTTATGGGTTCAGATAAGGGGGCACACATGTTTGAAGTTTCGGTGCTTAAAAATCTACATTTTAAACCTATGTTCAGATGTGAAAACAGCAGCTCCAAATAGCTGCGTGTGGGTGAAATCTACAAACAGGTTGCTGAACGCAAGCTTAAAAGAAGAAAACAGAAAACAGGACGAAATATTCTTGAGGGAATTTAACAAACAACCTCAAACTGAAAAACTGTCCAAAATGTTTTCATAAGCATCGTCTCGCAAGCTGAGATGTGAGAGGGAGATTGAAGCCTCAGTCAAGCAATGAGGCAGTGATGGGAGCTCAAGGAGGCGAGAGAGTGAGTGAGCGCAGTAGGAGAGAGGAACGTGTGAGAGAAACAGCAAGCTTTTTTAAGCGAACAGAGCTGAATTGAGTGGACACATTAAAGTGAAGTGGCCCCACAGGAGTGGCGGTTAAGTGCTCCAGGCATTAGGCGGGAAATGAGGATCATAGTGGCTGGGAGAGACACACGGGCAAGCAGGATGTCATATCTGATATTAAATAAATATGACAGCCAGATGGAGGCTGAAACTGAAACCCTGCCGCTCTGGGAGGTTCACTGTGACATGCTTCGACTAACGATTGGGCAGCTGTGTGCTAATAGATGAGGAAGAGGCTGGTTAACAGTGGACCGGGGTTGGGTTTCTCTCTCACCTGGGCAGCCATGTCTACTAGCTGGGGCAGCTTGAGGTACTTGCCCTCACCCTCCTTCAAGAAGTCCAGCAAACTCCCTGAAAGAGAGAGACAAAGAGTAAAGCTTTTTTTTTTTCTTCAAAATTTGTACATTTTGAAAACAGGATATGAACCATATTATAATTGATAGAATATGAAATCATTTAAATATGTTTATATAATCATATTTCTACATAATATATTTTAAATGTAACATTTATTACATGTATTATATCAATATTTGTGTATTGTAAAAATAAATTTATTGTTCTTATATTTTTACGTTGCAACCATCTCAACACCAAATTATAAAACGGGTCTTATATTATTTGTATAATTTTAAAAAGTAATATAATGAAACATTATTAGAAAAAAAATGTATATTAACAAATGTATATATATATAATTTGAATAATGATGCAACGCAAAATAAGATATGGTTGTAACGTAAAAAATATAACAACAATAAAACTAGTTAAAAAATATAATTCATTAAATGGTTAATGAATATAGGTCAAGATGCTTCAAAATAAACAGGAAGTGAAGAAAAAGAATGCAAGCTACCTTTGGCCATGTACTCAGTGACGATGTAAATGGGCTCCTCGGACACAACGGCATACAGGGGCACCAGCTTGTCATGCCGAAGCTTCTTCATGATCTGGGCTTCCTGCAGGAAAGCTTCAGGAGACATGGTGCCCGGCTTCAGAGTCTTTATAGCTACTTTAGTCGTGCCATTCCAAGTACCTAAAAAAAAAAAGAATGAACAAAATGAGAGAGCAAAAGAAAGCAAATCAAAACAAAATTACACACAAAACATCGTTTTTGTAGAGCAACAACCCTGTGTAATCCAGTTATTAATCCAGAAGTGGAACTGAAGTGTTAATTCTTTGATTTTACAATAAAATGTAGATACAAAATATAACAAAAACCCTAAATAAAGCCGAAAGGATCAGAAAGGATCTGAGAAATCAGTGGAGAAAAGTATGAAAACCTCATTAGTAGTAAGAAATGTGGGAACACTGAAATATTTTAATACCAAAAGCAAGATTTATACACAAGAAGTCCATGGAATTCCTTAAAAGGGTCATTGGGTGCCCATTTTCCACAAGTTTGTAGGATTCTTTAGGGTCTTCATGTAAAGTTTGTAACATACTTTGGTTAAAATTTGGTTAAAATGTGTAAAACACCCTTTTACCTCCTCAAAAACAGCTCTGTTCACAGTGAAACGTTTTGGTGCATGTCTCTTTAAATAATAATGAGCAACTGCTCACCCCACCCCTCTCTTCCATGGGGCGTGTTGACACAAGACAAGTAAAGTGTAGCCTTGGCAGACAGTATACATATATGACATCAATCCAAACGGCTTGATTGAGTTTTGAGGATTGGAAAAAAAAGAAGAAAAAAAAAGGAGTGAATGGATTTTTTTTCATTGTATGGTGGTTGTGTCCACACACTGCAAAGACACATTTATATGCAAACACCATATAAAAGTGAATTTTGCATCTGATGACCCCTTTAAGAAATCTTCCAAACCGGGTGAAGTATCTACATTTGCCAGGACAAACCATTGAGCAAACCGCTTAAACGGCAATGACACAGATTGCCAGCTCGTGACAAAACAGTAATGTGGAGCCTATTATGCATGTTGAAACAAACATACTCAGACAATAAGTGGAATTTCTGACATAGTTTTCTATGATGTGGCATGTTGCAGCTTGCAGCGAAGCTAGCTTTAAGAGCTGTGACGAAAGACACGTGTTCTTAATAATCCACTTTCACACCTCCCTCTAGTACATAAACACTAAAGTGCTGTGGTGCATTTATAAAACAACAGACGTATATGGCATTCACAGTAGAGGAGAGTGGGGTGAAGTGTGCCAGGTGCTTTGGGGAATGAGTTTGAGTTCTCTGCATTGTATGTGCATTTGTCTTACCCATCCAGACCTCTCCGAAGCAGCCCTGACCCAGCTTGAGCTCCAGACGCAGTGAGTCTCGTGGGATTTCCCATGCGTCTTTTGCCAGTCCCTGAGTCTGGGGCTTCACCGTCGGACACACTGTGGTCAGTCGGTAGCACAACCCATCTGCATGCTCTACACACACACACATAAGAGTGATGTCAGAGAGAACACAACGGTCATAATTCATAAATTCCTTGAACTAGAATCACACCTGTGAGTGTGACGCCCATATCCAGACAATAGACACTCCCTAATAAAAACAACTGGGATTTCAATACAGTTTAGATCAGTACATTATGACCCGTGATAAAAACTAACTCAAACATCATTTAAAAACAAATAACATAGTGAGTGAGAGAAGTGCTGAGCAAAATGAATAGATGCAGTGAATTAAACAAGGTGTGATATTCTTCAAATTTCAAACAATAGGGGACCATTAAGAATAAGACTACAAAATGACCTAGGTGAGGGCAAAAGACATTAATCATTTATCCAGCCATAAAGCCAATTAATCACTGTCTTTCAACAAAATGATTCAAATCTTTACAAAGCGAGTCTCATAGAGAGAGCCAGACAAGGACTAATGGCCTTTCATTAAGCCTTGGCATTCTTCAGATAAGATGAATCTGAACAGCAAATTTGTTTCTTTCACATGTCCTCAGTTCTGTGACAGGTTGTATGAAACGCCTGACAGAAAACAATTAAATCCACTACTCAGTGGGAGTTTAAACATTAAACAGACAATATGGCGAGTTGGTCCTTCCTAACAGCATCCCCTCTTCTGGCAAGATTTTCTATTACATTTTGGAACTTTGCTATGGGACTTACTTTTATTTAGAGTTATGATTTACACTACTGTTCAAAAGTTTGGGGGCAGTAAGATTACTCCTAAATAACTGTATACTTTTATTCAGCAAGGATGCATTAAATTGATCAAAAGTGACAGTAAAGACATGTCACAAAATACTTTTTATATCAAATAAATGCTGTTCTTTTGAACATTTTATCAATCAAAAGAATCCTGAAAAAATGTATCTCAGTTTCCACAGAAATATTAAGCAATACGAATTTAACTGAACAAATTGTGTTCAATCAAAAGTATATCTTTAAAACAAGCTAAACAGCGCTGGGCTTGTGGAGGCTTGTTCCAGACCAAACACAGTAGACCATTTCTAAATGGACCCCTTCTTTATACATGGTGCATTGTTAGGCTGGAAAAGAATAGGTACACCCTGCTCTACTGTAAATGTTTGTTTAAGGAGATTGTATGGCTGTATGATTGATTTTATGGACCTGCTAGCAATAAGTGAAGCTGAAAAGCCAAACCCTTAGATTAGAAGAGTGACCACATACTTTTTGTTATGTAGTTTATATCAAGTAATCCTGCTTTGAGAGCTTAACCACAGAGGTAAACATAACACTGGTTGATGGCTTGACAAAACCACAATTAGGAGAATCTGATGGTTTTGCTTTGTGGGGACTGACGTCAGCTACAACAACAGAGCTGTGGCAGGATACTAACGTAACATCTCATAAGATCAAAGTGTCGATTTCAAAAACCCTCTCAGAGGTTCTCCTGTGAAAACTAAGCCAAGATTAACTGACAGTCTGGGTGAACGGGGACACATTTCTCACAGCAGACGTCAGGCACCTGTTAGCGCTATTCACACTGAGACCCCTAAGCTTCAAACCAACACCCTGCCATCTCCACATGCCTGGTATTCTGGGCTTCTGTACTCCACACAAAGTTTCTGGCCATGTCAAGTTTTGCTCAAAACCTTTAAGGTCCATTTGTACCGGAAGAAGATACAATAAACAATATGGTTTTCCTACAATACGGTTCAAAAGTTTGGGATCAGTAAGATTTCTTTTAAAGAAATGTATTATTTTATTCAACAAGGAGGATGCATTAAATTGAAAAAAAAAAAAGTGATAGTATATTTCAAATAAATGCTGTTCTTTTGAACTTTCTAGTAATCCAAGAATCCCCCAAAAATGTATCATGGTTTCCACAAAAATATTAAGCAGCTCAACTTTCATCATTGATAATAATAATACATTTTTCTTGAGCACAAAAATCAGCATATTAGAATGATTTCTGAAGGATCATGTGACACTGAAGGCAGGAGTAATAATGATGAAAATACAGCTTTGCTCTAGGATTACATTACATTTTTAAAATATATTAAATTATTTTTACATTTTAAATGGCTGCTTTTACAAATAATTGCAGCCTTGGTGAGCATAAGAGGCTTCTTTCAAAAACATAAAAAAATATTACCAACTTAAACTTTTGAATGGTAGTGTATACATCATATAACTTCAGTAGGACTCAAAACTTGACTCAAGTGAATGTGCTAACCTGTGTAATGCTTCACCAGTTTCTGTAGAGTGTCAAACTGAGCTCTTGTGGTGATGTAATAGCCTCCACTGTCAAGCTTTCGGATTTTGTAGTGTTTCACGTTGTCTCCCTTCATCTCATCCCAGTCCCGTATTGAAAGAGAGTAAGCCCCTGCCACGATGAGAGGACGCAACAGATTAAAATATTTCTGATTTGGTTTGGTTTTGAGTACCAGTGCTGTACATGTCTTAAGATAGATAGCAATTCACTTACCTTTAGTGGTCTCACTTTCTCGGACCAAAAATGTGCCCCGCTGGTTTCCAGGAACCAGTAGCAGTCGCTCAGCATCTTTACGACCCATTTTTCCAAAGTACCATCTGTGAGATGGAAATAAATGAAAATAAATCACTTGCCCAGCCATGTTAATGTGGAGTTTGGAATGCTCTGGAACATATAAAAGGCAGTCTGATGAAAACTAAACTTAAGACTTAAGTTAATTAAATTGGTCTGAATCTGTCCTGAATGAATTTGTCAGTGTCAAGGTAACTGGGAAAATAAGACAAAAAAACAACAACTTTACAACGACTAAAAAGAAATTGAGGCCAGTAAGATGTTTTAATGTTTTTGAAAGACTGCATTTATTTGAATGGAAAAAAAAAAACATAAAAAATGTATATTATGAAATATTATTACAGATTAAAGAAACAGTTTTCTATTTTAATCCATTTCAAAATGTAATTTATTCTTGTGAAGGCAAAACTGAATGTTGACAATAGTTGTACTGCTTAATCTTTTGTGACAATAGTCATTAGTGTCACTTTTGATCAATTTAATGCATCCTTGATGAATAAAATTTTATTTCTAAAAAAATATAGATAAATTACTGACCCCAAAAGTGAAAGTTCAAAGTAGTCATCTAGATAACTGTTGATTTATATCTTGATGATTTGTTATAAAGCAGTAAAAAAAAAAATCATCAGGGCATAATTCAACACTACTTTTTTTAATGAACAATGCAGACTGCTATTTGATCATGTTCACTGATTTGAATTTATATGAACCAATAAACGTATTATAATATACAATAAAGCCACAAAGACCTCTGTGAAGATTTCTACAAACAAATCACTGAATCACAATTGATCTCACTGAAATAGATGGTTTGAACCAATTTTTAGAAATGAACTTAAATCAGAGAATTTTTTTTAAATATATATATATATTTTAAATCTTTAATGAATGAACGAACATGATCATGATTAAATATTGTCTAAATTTAAAGGACATTTTAAAGTCAAAAACTGACTTTAAACAAAAACTAAAATAATACATTAAAACATTTGCAAAGTGAAAAATGGCAAAGAATGAAATCAAAGCTTGTACAGAGAAGCACAACAGAAACCCCCCAAGTGAAATAATATGGGTGAAGAAGGGAGTAACACTGAAAGAGAGACAGACGTAAAGTTTGTAACTCAAAAAGAGCGTCTTTTGTCTTGCAGTCATGTGTTTTTTGGTGTGTTTGTCAGCACCAGGGCTCTGGGCGTACGTGTGACCGGCCATCATGCTCTCTTAATTACGGCATGAAGGGATGAGATGATTGGATAAGCACAGGAGGAGAGAAGTTACTTACTCTTCCGCTTGGATGGAGTCTGCAGGGGCCACGTAATTACTGGGAATGTAGCCCTTCTGCCCCGTGTTGATGGAGCGAGCCTCCCACCAGTCTCCCTCTCTATGGGCCAAAGCAAAAGACACAACCGAGTTATCATGCTCATGTCCTTCACCACAAACAGACCAGCATCAACAGTAAAAATGCAGGGAAGTGAAGGAATTTGAAGCGTATGATTAAAAATGTCAGGGTCGTTACAGAAGGAAAACAATTGAGCAGTGAGCATTTATTGAATGCTAAACCTGGCTAGTGGTTGAACAGATGGCCCATTATGGAAATACATTAACCCAGACAGATTTTGCCCTGGACGAACTTGGAATACAATGATGGATTATAAAAGAAAATAAATAAATAAATACACAAGACACATATCCATGCTTGTATGACTATCTTTGACATTGATATAATGCAATCCCAAGCCCCTTACCTTTACCATCACAACTAAATGGCTAACCCCAACTTTAACCCTAATATCAAATGTTAACCCTTACACAGCCCTTTAAAGGGGTGTCAGAAGTGAGGACCTGCCAAAAGGTCCTCACTTTACTAATTTTGCCCTCACTCCAATGGGCTAAAGCTCTAACTGGTCACAAAGATAGCTATACGAGTATACAAACCAAATTAATTTGGTGGTTGCAAATTTCAGCGAATTTTCAAAGTTGGAAACTTCCCATGGTAATTAATGGGAGTAAACTGGAATTTTTTTTTAATTGCAGGTTAGCCTATAACAGGGAAATTAAATGTAGTGTTAAAAAAAGCATCTTGCAGCATTATCTTGGTTAAAACAACCAGATTGCATGCAAATTCAGTTTTTAGTTTCTACCCTGCACGTTCCTCAATCACATGCACACAGCACACTACTAACTGCAGGGCACCCCTGAATCAGCTTTAATTTTATGGGGAATACGTTTATTTTATTCAACATTCATGCTTTTTTGTTGTTCAATGAAAGAATCAATGAAAGTTCAACTCACAAATAAATCAGTCATTTTTTAAATTTGTATTAGATTGCATGCATGTCTGCTTATGACCAAACAAAAAGTTTACATTTATGTTTGTATAAATTACCCCAAATTTCCAATTAATTCCCGTTAAGTTTCCAACTTGGAATATTTCCAAACTTCCCCAGCTTAACTTCCCATGGAAATTTTCTGGAAATGTTCTGCCCCTTTGCAACCCTAGTTGGTGTGCATTATGTATGTATCCATCTATATATATATATATATATATATATATATATATATATATATATATATATATATATATATATATATATATATATATATATATATATATATATATATACACACACACATACACACACTTATTCATTTACTTCATCTTTACTGCAGCATGACATGCTCAAGCCATGTCACCCCAGAGTGGACGTGAGCGTATGAGCAGAGGAAAGGAACTCACGTGTTGTTTATGATCTGAAATCTATCGCCTTTCTTGAAGGAGAGGTCATCTGATGTCCTGGCTTCATAATCATATAAGGCCACAAAGAAAGTTACGCCGCCTGCAAGAAAAATCAATGTAGGTTGAATGTTTAAAGGTTGTGTAAAGATGCAAATCACAGGCTAAGACAATACAATAATAGTACGCTAATGGCTAGTTAGCTGCCAAGTAACTAAATTTTTTACATTTGAAATTACAGCATCAGATGCTATTTCAGCCACATAATAGAGTTTAGTTAAGCATTTATAGGCACGTTAAATGAGGTGTTTATTGATTTTTGTTCCCGGCTTGGTCATCTCTACAGACAGTTATCATTAGCCGGCTCGGCTCTTTGTCTTGGTTACATAAACAATGGGATTTTCACAAGCATGGTTTATGGATGGCACAGTTGGACGCAAAGAAGAAATACGGCAGAGCTAAGATGGTTTTAAGTGTGAGGGAGGACAAAAGGAATGGGCTGGATTAAACCTAAAAAGGCCTCCGAGAACAGATTATCCATTAGTGAAGAACAGAGGGCCGACCAGCTGATTACATCTGCTATGCCACACACACACAATTTTTCTGTTTGGCTAATAAATTAGATCAGGTTTGAACCTACAGACAAAGTTTCGATGATGAGTACCGGTAATTAGGGTTGTCACAAAAGCAAAATTGCAGTAGTTGATACCGCTCCCAGCAATATTTCTTTAATTCAACTGCGATACACAGCAAAAACTATCAAAATAATAATATATGAATTAATGTGTTAATTGTAATTGCAAATATAACATATAAATGTTAATCATTTAAAAAGTGTAATAGAAAATATACATAATATAATTTGTCATCATTATTAATACAAACAAATATGCATTGTAATTGTAAAAATCAGTTAATGCAAAGCTAGCTGTGGATTATCCCATTTATACCATGGTCATTTGCTAGCACCGACAAGTTAAGGTTGTTATTGATATTTGACAGGAAGGATAAAAAACTATTTTTCTTTTACGTCAGTTATGGCTTGTTAGATCTAGCATTCTGCCCACTTTGAATCAGTATATATCAGTATACTGATTTATGTATGCATATATGCATGTTTATGTATATATATATATATATATATATATATATATTCCCAGCTCATAGCATCATGTAATCTTCAAGTATTTTTCAGGTAAGCAAACATTATTAATTAATTTTTCAAATAATTATTGGAGTAAACAGCCAGTAATGGGCTAAACAACAAAGAAATAATCAGTACAAGCACTTTTTCATTTATTTTGTCAATCTTGTAGATTGCTAATTAACAATATACTAGATAAGATTAGAGAGCTATAATAAAATGTTAATTAAAAAATATTTGGTTGGATGTAAACATCAAAGACTAATGAAAAGATCAGATATTTTGACACAAATTTTATGTTTATATTAATATACTGCAGGATAGGCATCTTGAACAAGTAGTGAACATCCACATGCTGGTTAACCTGGTTGATTGCAAGGTTTGAGGCACTCAGCACAGAATACTTGGTACCACCGGTATTGTAGAAAGACTGGTTACATTTATTTTAGTATTGACATCTAACATCCCTAAATTATAACAACAATATGTGAACACTTCAAAGATGCCAGAAATAATATATTTTATGTGGGTGAGCTGGGTACACTGTCTTCTGCCCGCCCACTGACACTGACAAGATCTTAAAAATTCTCCAGATTTTCCCTGGAAACGATTTCCATCAGAGCACACTGGATTTAGCAGTTAAGCAAAAACTATCAGATCAAATGCTGCCTGTAAAAGCAGATCCATGAACAGCGCTTTCCTTGTGACAAGACATGATGTGATAATTACACTATTTATAGCCCGACTGAATAAAAACTGTGCCGTTTACAGAGAACACACAAAGATCTAATTCTTTCAGTTTTCTGCTGTAGACACATATCGCATTTATACCCAGCCTCTTAGAGTCAGGGAGAGCAAAACTTGGTATCAAGAGATCTCTTCACGGCACTGCCTTAAGCATAACAAAGAAATGATCACTGAACAAAGAGGAATAAATCACATTAGTTCCCCTCTCCTTTTTATTTAGGCCTACTACAAATGCAGTTTGTAATTCTAATTTAATGAAACACACTGGATATATTGTTTTAGTGGTCTCATTTACATAACATCTGGCTTCCATGAACTCTGATTTCATAAAAGTGCTTAATACAAACAAATCACCAAACACAACCTTTATCCTCATGGTGACCCTGAGCTTTTGAATGAGCTATGGCGCTATAGATGCCATATTTAATGTGAGAAATTAATGAAATAAGTCTGTGAGGGATATATAAATGTTGAAATTGTTCAAATCAGTCACACCTTAGTGGGACCAATAAAATAATATATTTTTCATTCAGGTTATATAAACATTATATATATATATATATATTTTTTTTTAAATTAATTTCAAATATGCAATTATTTAAAGCAGTTCAAATGCTTCTCATTTGTGCACATAATTATATTAATGCAGACTGTTATTGCCTATTTATCTTTAATTTTTTTTACATTTTGATCTTCAGTTAGCATACACAAAGACTATTTCATGTCAGTTTCTGCCTTATAAATTTCCAATTTGTTCCTTATTTTGATGTAGGATAAATCATTTTAATCCTTTAATCCGTTACATTTAAGATCAAATTCAATCGTTTGTTCGTTTTATAAATGAGACCCCTGGGATGAAACCCGTGATCCATGAGCCCAGACCTGGTATCAGACATCGGATATGGTTTCTTAGGAATTCTTGTTTCCTTAGACAGAGCTACTTCACAGAGGTTCAGGCAGAGCTCTTATCGCTCATCCACTCACCTGTGACGGCACCAGGGAAGGGGCTGCTCACAGCAACAGTGGAGAAGGAAGAGGAGGCTCCACCGAAGGGTGTGATGACAGAGGAGGAGCCACCGAATGGGGTGAGCCCAGTTGTGCGGCTGTTGTAGTTGTTGGTGGGGCCCTTCAGGGCAGGTGACTGGCCCATCTGGGTGGGGTCTGGTCCATAGAGACCCATGTGTGACCCAGGGGTGGGATTGGTGGGATCTGGTCGGTACTTCTGTGTAGGACCCTTGTCCTCTTTACTCTTGACACAGCCCATAGTCAAGCCTGTGGAAAGAGGAGTTCATGTTTACCAGCTCTCATGGCATTTTTCCAAAGGTATGCAATCTTGACCTATCATAGCAATTGCAACCATTTATGGCACATTGGAAATCTGCACACACATACACACACACAAATACACTAGCATTCAAAGGTTTGGGGTCGGTACTCGATAAGATTTTTCAATGTTTTTGAAAGAAGTCTCTTTTGTTCACCAAGGCTGCAATTATTTGATCACAAATAATTGAACATCGTAAAAACAGTAATATTGCCATTACAATATAAAATAATAATTTTCTATTTTAATATTTTTAAAATGCAACGTATTCCTGTGATGGCAAAGCTGAACTTGCAGCATCATTACTCCAGTCTTCAGTGTCACATGATCCTTCAGAAATGATTCTAATATGCTGATCTGGTGCTTAAGAAATGTTTTTTTAAAATAACCAATTTTTGTGGAAACAGTTATACTTTTTTTTCAGGATTCTGTGATAAATAGAAAGTTCAAAAGAATAGCATTTATTTGAAATCATTTTTTTTTTAACATTACAAATGTCTTCAATGACACTTTGGAACAATTTTGTTGCTAAACAAAAGTATACATTTCTTTAAAAACATATATCTTACTGATTCCAAACTTTTAAACAAATGTGTACATTTATAACACCATTGTTATATTACCTTGACATTAAATTGCTAAAAAACTAGATGTGATGGTGTTTCTAATACAACGGTCGAGGCAGTGACCGTAAGTTGGACAACTTTCTCCGACTGCTGCTGTAATGAATCTTTTTTTTTTTACCTAGAACATTTTTCAAAATATCTTCATACAGGTTTGGAAAGACGAGTAAATTATGTCCGAATTTAAGTATCCTTTTATGTTTTACCCATAACATAAGTATGAGCAGAAACACCAAAGCTAATTTTAAAGGTGCTATATGTAACTTTTCTTCTAAAATGAATCCTTTTTATATTGCCTGTGTGTGAAGGGGTTGTAATCACACATTACAATGATCCACTTGTCGGGTTTTGCTATTACCTCTGAAGGCCAGTATTCCTATTTCTATGTGGAGTCTCCGGGTCGGATTTTCTGCGAAATCCATTGGATATTTGACGTGCATGCGCGCTCCCGATCCTCTCTCCTTTTTATATAGTCTATGCGACGGCACTGCAGCTGACGGCATGGAGTCTGATAACACCAAAAAACGACCTGCCTCCAGCTAGGGCTGTCGCGATAACCGCAATATTGCGGTACCGCGCTACTGACAGGCCAACCGCAGAGGAATGCAAGTAACCGCAGCAACCGCCAAACCACGTTTTCTTTTTTCATAAGGCCACCCTTCGTAGTTCATACCATGTGTATTGAATGTTAAATAAGTTAATAATGATAACAAGACTGTTTATCATGGTGATTTGTACAGAGGCTTCGTGGATTTGGACTTAAGCCTAAACAGACAGTGAATGAGATCGCCTGAGCGCGTGCGATTACCTGCCTCTGTCTTTGAAGTCAAGTCATGTATTTTCGTGAAAAGGTTGCCGTTTCCAAGGAAAGCGGAATATTTGTCGTATCATCCTTTTAACGTGTAAGGGGAGGCTATTTACCATGAATGGCGTCAGCGCTGGTCAGCATTACACAGCACGAGGAAGCCGTGGGGGAAAGCAGCGAGTCACGCATTGGTCTCTATTAAGTGAAGCATTGCTTCAGCTTTGCCCAAAAGTGAAGCATTGCTGGCCAGCTGAGCCTTGAAAAGTGGAGCTCAAATTTAAAAAAAATAATTAACGCCTTGTTTCATTACATCTATCATTTAAGGAATCAGCTTTTTTGAACGTTTTCGTTGAATGAACGGTTTAATGACTCACTCAAAGACAGTCCGTTGGCATAACAATGTAACTGCGCGCTGAGTGACAGTCTTTCAATGCGCAGAGACGCTGTTTAGTTTCGGTTACATTGGTTACATTGTTTTTGTGTATGCTGACCACGTCATAACACGTATTTATAGCAACAAATAAATATAAATAAATAAATGGCGGTAATACCGCATATCGCGCTATTGAGCCACTCAAAATTACCGCAAGGGAAATTCCTTCACCGCGACAGCCCTACCTCCAGCACAACACAAACTCCACAAAAATATAAAAAACAAAACAAAAATGTACCTGCTGAAGCTCGTCAGGCCAAATGTGAATCGGATCGACTAAGACGAAAACACGGATCAACATCGGCAGAGCGTTTGAATTATGGAGAGACCTCCGCTATTTTTATTGTGATAAATTACAAGTTTTCAGATATGCTGAAATAAATAATGGTAAACTGTAATGAAATAGCAAGGTAAACTACAACATATATGAGACATGAAATGAATACAAAAGACTGTTCCAGGATAACAAAAAGTAGGTGCTTTAGGATGTAACTTTTATTTTATGTACTAGATCTACTGTCTAACGTCACTTATCCCACTACTATCATATTGTTTATAATACACATTTCCAGACACGTTCAGTACAGTAATGTTACTTCCTACGATCTTACTGTTACACTGAAATTGTTCAGTCTAGTTCACTAACCGTTTTCGTTATCATATTATACATTCATCTATGTTGACATTGCTGTCTGATTGTGAAAGATACATGAATGGTTAGTGAAATGCTTTATGCTAGATAACACCACGTCGGCTAAATGCAGTCAATGTAACGTTATCATGGTACAAGCATGGAGCATTAGTTCAACGTCAAGCTGATAAAAGTAGCCTATTATTGTAACGTTGCAGTGGGAGTTTACTTGAGTTTCCAGCATGTTGTGTGATGCTTTCTCCGGTGTGTTGAAAGTCTCAGTGTGGCCGTGTACCATGAGTGCTCGCTCTTGTGTTCGAGCACGCGCAAGAGCACGAGCGCTCTTGTAAAAATTGGTTGCAATCTGAAACATCACCGATAGAGGCTGCTAAAAAATACGAGCATCTGCTTCCTGTTACTTGCCAAATCAAAACTGCTTTCAACAGACTTGCCGTCATTCCACAGCAATGCACATGTCAGAGTTAATCACACGAGCGTCTTTTGAGCAGAGCTGGGTCACCGATCCATGTCCCACAACCCACACAAACGTGTCAGGTCGTGTTGACTGCTCTGTGTGGTCAATGTGATAGGAGGGCTTTACCCTCAGAGGCAGAGGCAGAGGCAGAGGCAGAGGCAGAGGCAGAGAGAGAGAGAGAGAGAGAGAGAGAGAGAGAGAGAGAGAGAGAGAGAGAGAGAGAGAGAGAGAGAGAGAGAGAGAGAGAGAGAGAGAGAGAGAGAGAGAGAGAGAGAGAGAGAGAGAGAGAGAGAGAGAGAGAGAGAGAGAGAGAGAGAGAGAGAGAGAGAGAGAGAGAGAGAGAGAGAGAGAGAGAGAGAGAGAGAGGACAGTATAATCTCCAGACGTCCCGTCCCTGCTTGTGTTTCTGCCAGGCCTCTTTGTCTGGGATGCACTCGGCACGGAGCAGGCACACATGTGCTGGGGAATGAGGAATGCGAGCGGGGCCTTAAAGGAACAGGTGGCCTTGAGAGGAAGGTTACAAGACACAACAGTGCCACCACACATGGAACACAGATATAGACAGACAACAAGATATAGAGTGCAGCAGTCGTGTTACGGAAGTAAAAATCCCATTCATTTGATTTTGAACAATAACTTGTAAACCTTTAAAGACAGACCTACAGTGAGATACAACTTTGAAGGTATATGCTTTTGAAGCTATCTGCCCATTTTGTTTTAACTCATTTAAAAAAAAAAAAAAAAAAACGTGGAATTCCTGATGTAAAACTATATCGCACAAAGAGATGTAGCCACTGCCATGAAGCGATTTATTACGTATTTTGATGGTGCTGAATTCAGATATGACATTTAAAGTGCCCCTATTATGGTTTTTCGAATATTCCCTTTCCTGCAGTGTTTAATATAGCTGTTTGTGAATGCAAACGTTCTGCAAAGTTGTAAAGTCAAAAGTGCACGATAAATAAAAGATAAATATTGTCTCCCAAAAGAAAGAATCGACTCTGAACCGGTGCCTATACCAGTCACTTGTAATTCGAATCTCCCTGTGTGACGTTTCTACGTCACTGGAAAATACATCTGCAGAATGCCTGCCTACTTTGTACATTGTCCGCCCACAGACAAGCTTGACCAGCCCTCAAACGTCATTTTACTGACGACTGCATCTCAAATCTTGGAGTTCAATGCAGGATTCGCAAAACGCTTGCTCTTGAAAGACGGGTCAGTACCCAGTTAATTTGGACCAGCTTGCTCCCCAGAATCAGAACCTGTAAGTATGAATCATTTAGCCTGGGAAAACCTAGACAACTTCTGGCAAATTTAGATTTGCTCTGAAAGTTAGTCTGGCAAAGAGCTCATTCAAGCTCATTTCCAATCCGCCGAAATCGAGGCACCAATCAGAAACGTTGGGGCGGGCTTTACACGATGACGACAGCACTGGGATTTTGAAGCAGATTTTGTAGCCTACATTACAAAGATGGATGCCGCCGTCGAACATCACTTGTTCGAATCAGCTATCGCGTCTGTTTTAAGCGATTTGAACGTTTCCTTTTTGTTAAAAACCGAGCAAAGAACAACACTCGGAGATGTTTCTGCCGCTCTGCATACGTCATCTCCTTCATCGCTCTAGGTCTATCCGCAACGTCCGTTGGTGACGCCCCTCTGGAAATGATTTGTCTATGACGCTTTGCCAGACCATAACTCAGTTACAACTGAGAATGGTCTGGTTTTAACCAGGCTATGAATCATTATTAATGTATACATTTTCTACCTGGTGTTCAAAATACAGTTATGTGTTTTATATTGTGTAAGTTTCCGGCTAACTCACATTATTAAGGTCTTACTGAAATGGTTTTAGGAAGCCTCCTGAGCTGAAGTTCAGTTATAGTAATGGTCGTCTAGCTTCCGACAAGTACTGTACGCGGTAGACCAATCACAACAGACTGGACTGTCTGGCCAATCAGGGCAGAGTAGGCTCGAGGAA